TAACCTTCCAGCCGTGGTGTGCTCTGCTACGATCGCTTGGGGGATTGGGCTGGGAACCTGGCTGAGTTATGTCCCCGCTCCCCGGCACCGCACCGGCCCCACGCTCCACAGCTTTGGGCTGTGCCAGGCCCAGCGTCGCAGCTGGAGCAGGGCCTTGAATTCCCTCGGCCGCCGGCACGGTGCGGTTTGGAAAGCAGAGGTGCAGCAAGCGGTGCCCACCGGCACCGATGCCGCGGGGCGGAGGGGAGCGGGGGGTGGCTGCACCCCCGTGTCGTGGCAATGGGACACTGCTGCCCGTGTTTTAAAATGAAGGTTGAAAAATGGGACAGGTAGAAGAGCGCTACAGCCGTCGTCTTTTAGGGCTGGAGAAAGTGCCCTGCTGTGAGATACTAAAGGCACACAACCCGTTTAGCTTATCAAGAAGAAGATTGAGAAGGGACTTGATTAGAGTAAGTGCCATCAGGGGGAGGGGACCAAGGGACCGAGGGCTATTTAATCCAGTGGAGAGGCAGAACAAGAACCGCTGGCTGGAAAGCGAAGCCAGACAAATTCAAATGAGAAATAAGGCATAAATTTTCAGCTGCGCAGGTGATTAACCACCAGAACTTGAACTTGCTCCTCAGGGGAGCACTGGCTTTTCTAACTTGGCTTCTGGGGTGCTGACGGGCTGCTCCCGTGCATGTGCTGCAGCCAGGGCACACCGAGCTCGGTGCTCCCACATGGTGGGCAGACGTCAGTCTTTCCTCCTGGTCTTGCTGTCCTGCTCCTTGTTGTTCCCCAAATGTGTTTCGGGTCAGCACATCACTGTGGAAGGAGGGGTGTGCCTGGGGGTGCAACGCTGTCTCACTGGTGCTATTCCCACCGTGTCCCCAGCAGGACCACAGTGTGGCATGTGAAGGGATGCTGGTAATGGGAAAAGCAAGTGCATGGCATGAGAGCCCTGGTCGATAATTCCGAGTATCTCAAGGCCATGAATCCATCTGCAGTGCTGGGCTGGGGAGTGGAGACTGGACTGCTTCCCAGGGAGTGCTTGCCATGGATTGGGATCTGGGGTGGGGTGGGTGGGCACGGGTTGCTCAATGCTGTGACTCTCCCACCCCTGCAGCTCTTGGGGGGTGAGAAGCACCAGGAGAGCTGGCAGTCACCCCGCTTTGACTACTACGGGGCTGAGCCCACCGCACCGGACCTCAGCGATGCTGAGCTGCCCCACGTGCTCGAGATCTATGATTTCCCCTCGGATTTCCGCACCGAGGACCTGCTGCGTGTCTTCTGCAGCTATCAGTGAGTCTGCCAGCAATGCCCCGTCCCCAGTGCTGTGGTCCTCTGCCTGTGCTTTGCTCCAGACCCCTGCCCACCCGGTGGTGATGCCTTGCTGAGCTTCCCTCTCTCTGGCAGGAAAAAAGGCTTTGATATAAAGTGGGTGGATGATACACACGCCCTGGGCATTTTCTCCAGCCCCATAACAGGTACTGCTCTCAGTTTGTCTGGAGATGGGCAGAGGGGAGGCATCCCTGCCTCTTCTGTGGCCAGATCCCAGGTATGGGGGTAGCCCCACATGTGGACACTGCTGCTCTGTCCCTCCAGCACGCGATGCCCTCAGCACCAAGCACCTGATGGTGAAGACTCGCCCGCTCTCCCAGGGTACCCGCGCCTCTAAAGCCAAAGCCAGGGCATACGCTGGTGAGTGATGCTGCCCTGTGGTGGCTTGTGCCACAGCATCTTCATCTTGATAGCTGGGGAGGGATGGGGCAGCCGGCACGGCTCCGCAGCACTTAAGCTGGCTGCCCTGTCCCTCCTGGGGTGCCCCTACTGATGTTCCCCATCTCTGCTCACCCAGACTACCTGCAGCCGGTCAAGGAGCGCCCCGAAACATCGGCCGCCCTGGCAAGGCGGCTGGTGATCGGTGCCCTCGGGGTACGCAGCAACCAGACGCCCGCCCAAAGAGATGCCGAGCGGAGGAAGCTGCAAGAAGCCCGGGGTGAGATTTGGATCCCCAGGGTGGCTGCGGCATGGGGGGAAACCTTTGCCATGGATGTCCCTTCTCACAGGGTGCTGGATGG